AAAAAATGTTTTGGGTTAAAGATTTAACTTGGGTTGGTTAAAATAAATAAGGGAGGCTACCTACTTTTCATGAATAAAGGAAAATTTTACTTCAATCTTATATTATATTTTTTATCAGCGAACTATATATATTAGGGCGGGTCGAAAATCGAATTTTATCCAAATCCCTTGGTAATAGTTAAAATATATTGTATCTTGAAGTCATCAACAAGCCTGAAAAATATTAGTATTTTATTTTAATTGTAAGAGCCCGCGCATCGACCGCCAATTGACCCACAGCACACTAGTCGAATAAGACCAATTCTTGTTAAAAATTCTGGGTTCAGTAAAAAGGTTTGATGCATATTGTTAGATAATGAATCCGTTAATGCAAAAGATAAAGTCAAATATCATTACTCGCAGCCCTTTAGCTTATCGTCAATCTCAAAGTTATCTTTTTTCAATAAGTTTTTAATTGTTCTCTTTATAATTGCACTGGCCTATAATCAAGAGATGTAAAGAACAGCATTAATATTGCTGGAGTGCATTTAGGTCGCTGGTTCTAAATATTCTAATCATTTTTTAATATTAGCTATAGTTTGCGAATTTTTGCAAATTTAGGAACAATTTCGGTAGTTCTAATAGAAAATCCATTATTTTGCATCATTGTGGAAAAATTTTGTTTATGCAAGTGATTATGGGAACACTGAATAGGCACAACTTCGAGAAACACTCATTAGTTTACTTATGTTTATGCATACAATATAAAAATTGCAAATATAGGAAAATTATGTAAACAAAAAATTGTTCAAAATATTTTTTATTTAAAATTATTAAAAAAATTTATAATCTGAACGACTTTCATCATATTATTATCATAAATCAGTAACAGTAAGTCTCGCTTCAATTTGGTAATTACTACGTACCGATCGAGCAACATTTACCAAAGTTATATCGAAAAACTTAAGTAGATCTCCAGTTTAAAAAAAAAAATGTATCTCAAATTGTATAAAAAACGTTTAGATAAAAGAGCGGGATTACAGAAAAGTGTGCCAGGGAGAGACTTTTTTCATTCGAGCTTAATGCAAAGCACTATCGTCCAATTGGAAAGTCCTCAAAAGGATTTCCCAGGATATGTTAGAGACTTTTTACATAATGCAATTAACTAAAATATTTATGTATATCTAAACACTTATTGCACGTCTCCTACTTTCATATAACGGCAAATTTAGAA